CATTAACTGCATAAAATCTCAACTTCTTTGTATCCTCAAAATTATTACTAATGGAAGTATTGGGTGATGTTGAATTAGAAGTTGGATTAGGTGGTGTTGAATTAGATGATGTTAGATTAGATGATGTTAAATTAGATGATGTTAAATTAGATGACATTAAATTATGTGATTTTGGATTAGGTGATGTTGTATCTAATGATGTTGTGTCAAATGATGTTGTATTGGACGTTGGATTAGATACCATAGAGTTGTCTGCAGTCCAGATGCAATTTTTTACGTTTCTAAATTTATGTGCCAAAAAAACAGCATCTGGTAGTGCTGGGACATTTCTGATGGTTGAATGTGTCCATAAAGGTTTACAAGGTTTTGCAAATTCGATATAACAAGATTCAAACTCTGCATCAGAGCAAAACTGTTCATTATCAGGATGTAAGATTTTTTGCACCATTCCAATATCTCTTTCAAGTGCATCTATAATAATTGATTTTGGGGGAAGAATTGTAGCCAAAAATTCAATTGTACGTTCTTGATTGAAAATTTCTGGACAATTTTTGAATACACGATTGTCAATATTTGGTACAATTCGCAACATATTATGGTGAAAAGCTGCCACTAGCAAAAGATTGATTAATAGAATGTTAGGTTCTCTTTTCAATTCGACTTGATTTGATGTTATTTCATATGCACGATCAAACGTATTCATCCAAGGATTTGTATTTTTTTGCATAATACTAGGTGCTTCATGAACCTTTCTATAAGAATTTGAATGATTGTTATGTAAATTAAGTTCTGGCAATTCTGAACTTGGATCTTTTTTTTTTAGACTTGAAGTTTCTTCAGATGCTGCTGCCATATCAAGAAATAGAATTGCTCGTTTGATGTCACTTGATGATTCAGTTCCTTGACTTGTCTCTGATCTCTCCTCTTCATCTTTAAGATCATTTCCCAATTCGTCACCTTTACTTTCATGTATATTTTCAATTAAATTAGGATTAAACACACGATTTCTACGTATTTTGTCTCTTTCTTCTTTTGTAGCAGCCGAACATATACCCTGATGAGATAAAGATTCTCGAAGAGTGATGACAAGATCTTGTATTTCTCTTATCCAATAAAGGCTAACAAACTGTTGTTGACACCATGTTGGTTCCTTGCTCTGATCAAAATCATCATTGTTTTGTATAGTTTCTTCCCATAAAAGATATCCACGTAATTGTGCTATTAAATCAGAGCCACCATGTAATGGCTGACAGTCGGGTAAATCCAAGTGAAATCTTTTTAATGCTGCACTGATAGCTATTTCTTGATTTGGAGGTTGAACAATGACTCCTTTGTTTTGCAATATTGCTATAATAATTATAATAATTTTAATAAATATATATATATACATATATATTAATATAAACTGAGAATCGATAATTTACCAGCAATAATCATACAATCGTATAAAGCACCAAAAATTGCACCATAAACTACTAATAGGCCAGAATGAATATCCAAAGGAACTTGTGCCAAAATTGTACCAAGACGAGTGACCTCATATTCATATGTAACAAGACTACCTTGAACCCAATCATCAGATTCTTTAATATTTTCTTTTGATTTAGTAACAGCACCAGTTGTTTCCAAATCTTCTAATGCATATTCAACAGCTGTATCATCTGGAGGATCAATGCAATGAGATAATAATTCACGAGGATCACCGAGGTTCCCATATATGCACCGTAAAAGTAAAGAATTAAGTGGTGTTCTATGAATCTCGGGTGTTCTTTCATCAGAAAGATTTTTAAAGAAATTTTTAGGTACAAATCGATAAATCTAATTTGAATGTAAAATACAAAAAAAAAGAATATTACAAATACTGAAGTGAAATTCAATATAATTTTTTCTTTTTATATATACATTACCACACCAGGACCAACTCTTCCAGCTCTTCCTCTTCTTTGCTCGGCGCAATCTTTACTTATCCATTGTTCATTTAAACTGTAACATCTAGTTTCTTTATCATAAAGTAAATCTTTACGCAAACAAGAATCAAATATTATGGAGACATCGGGAACAGTAATAGAGCTCTCGGCAATATTTGTTGCCAATATTATCTAAATTATTAAATCATTAAATATCAAATTGTTAAATAAATAAATAGTAAGGAAATAAAATTTATTAAATGGCATAAGAAAATGAGATCAGAAAATCATTGAAAAAAATTTTAGTACATTACTTTTCTATGACATGGTCTTGGTCTCTGCATAATTAAACATTGTTCATCAATAGTAACAGTTGAGTGTAGTTTAATCAATGAGATTGCAGGAGTAGGCTTTCCATCAGTATAAGGAAACTCGGACCTAAATTTTATAAAATGTGTCTATACAATGTAAAAAGTGGATGAACCTAAAAGTATGCTAATATATATATTTTTATTTTACCTATAATTTTCATCAAGGTACATCAATTGATCTTCCTTTACCAAAAAAAAATTTATTTGAATATAATTGATTTATATTATTATAAACACATTATAAACAAATAATAAAACTTACTACTTCAGCAATTATAGCAATACCAGGGAAAAAAACCAAAAAGGCCTTATCAGAAGGAGTTTGTATATGACATCGAAATATCCAATTGATAAAAAGATCACGACGTTCTTGCATCATAGAAGGTTTTTTTGGGTTATTCATTATTACATCTCTATTCGAAAAAGAAATATCTAATGCTTGACACACATCCTCTAGATAAAACACATCAACAGGAAAAGCTTTTTTAGGAATATCTATCCATGGTATTTTATTGAAAAAACCATCCTTTTCAGCTTCAAATTCATGAAAATAATTAGCAAATTTTTTAACATTCATTGTAGCCTGTAAACAAGAACAAAATAAGTTGTGAGAAAATAAATTGAATAAGTTTTTGTGTGTATACTTTGTTAATTGTTGAGAAGGTAACTTACCGACATTATTATTAATTTCAAATTAGGATTTACTCTTAATATAACACAAAGATGAGCCATCATCATATCATCATCTACATTGCGTTCATGAATCTGGTAAGGAAAAATTTTTTTTTGTCAATCATTAATTTTGCATTTTGCTGAATAAACATAATTTTATTCTTATAAACTTACTTCATCCATAATGACATGAGTAAATGAGGCCAAATACCTGTCTGCCTTCAACATCTCCAATAAAATTCCTGTAGTAACATAACGTAACCTTGTTATAGCTGAGTGACCACATTTACCACTGACATGATATCCTACTTGGCCGTGAAGCTTAGTATTTCTTTCCAATGCAACACGATGCGCTAAAGAAGTTGCAGCAATACGACGCTAGCATTAGATTGTATGAGGTCCAAGGAAGAAAAAATTATATTAATAATAAATTTTAAAAAATAAAATAAAAAAAATGACAACTCGTATGTAAAGTTACCGGTTGTGTACAAATTATATTAACAGGAACACCTCTTTGTAAACAGTCGTCCAATATATATTGTGGTACTTGAGTGGACTAATTATAAAAATTATAATTAATATTTCGTTTTCATAAATTGATGTTTTCATATATATATATATTTTTTTTTTAATGATGAATTACCTTTCCACAGCCAGTACTACCACTTAAAACAATTACTCTGTTGTCACGAATAATTTTGATGATATCTTCTTTACGAGATTCAATTGGAAGTTGTGATTGGTTTGGTTCAGGTATCCAAGCAGATCCATCATCGACATTTGATGTAGGTGGTGCGAATAATTTTGTTGATTGTTTGAACTTTGAAGCCTTCAATATATGTACAGCTGGTTTTTTATTTGATCCAAGTGGACATGGTGGAAATTCAGGGATTTGATATGCAGCATTATTACTATTATTATCATGGTATTCCGAGTCAGGTGATGATGATGATGATGATATTGAGGATTGTGAATTATTTGAAGAGTCGTTTATCATTATTACTTCATTCATGTCCATTTGTGACTCCTTCTCCAACAAGGCGAGTCTTGCTTGTTCTTGTTTTATTTTATTTAGATTTAGACTGATAACTTCTTCAAACGAGGAATCACTTTCTTCGTCAGAGCTTGAATCTAGATCAATAATAAGTGGCTGAAGCACGGAATTTTCGCAATTTAAATTTGTATATTTGATGGATGTATCATTTGTATTGTCAGTAACCACACTATTTCCAGTGTCGTCATCACGAGATTCAGAAAATTCACTTTTAGATTCGTTAGATATTCTCGAACCAAAATACCAATCAGAATCAAGTTCAGCCATTTTGAAATGTTAAAACTAAAATTTGTCGATTGTATTTTTCTGGAGAAGAAGGAGGATATATACTCTCAAAAAAATGATTATCATAAGTGCTGCGGCTATAAGCAAAATTTTAAGAATTTCCATTTTTGAAAATAATAATAATAATAAAAATATTTTTTATATTTTATATATTTTGACATAGCCCAAATTATGATCATATGACTTCGTGCATTTATTGAAAGTTAACTATAATTGGTTGTATAGCTAACCAGTTAATTGGCAGATAATCTCACTATTACGATTCTAGTGATTCGAGTTTTTCCATAAGTGTTTTTGGGGAGGAGGATTTTTAAATTGATTGAAGGAAAAATGTTGTTTTTTTATTACGAAATCAAACTTTTTTGGAAATAATATAATGGAAATTGCATAATATGTTATATTATGTAGAAACCCCAAATTCAGTCGATTTCTGACTGACTATATTTTCTTACCCTTACTAACAAAAAGTTTTTTTTCTTTTTGATTTCTGATAATAGAAATTCCAACATCTTGATCCAACATTCGAATTTTCGTATCTTTAATATAGCTCTTTCCTGGAATTATTTTGATCTCTGCACCTGATTAATTTTACATCAGAGAAATTGTGAATTAATATATACGAACGTATGTAAATGTATGCATATAATATATTAATAACCTCTGAAAGAATTTATTAGGTTGGTTCCTGTATTTTGAAGTATATTTTGCGATCTAGGAACATCCAAATTTTTTAATGTATTTAATCGCAGTTCCCTTGAAATCTCGCATTTTGGCTTTAATTGAAAATATAGTGATGATGATGTGCTGAATGATGCTTCTGATTCTGATGTTTTTGATAACAAATTACAAATATCTTTATCAATGAACGCAAATTCCATAGGATGAAGCCTTATTTCACTTTTCATTACTGTATGTATAAATATATTTATATAAATATAAATAAGTAGACGAATTAATCAATATATTTAAGAGTTAACAATGTCTACTTTTATTAATCAATTCATTAAATTGTTGTTGTATTTCTCTAGGAAGATAATTCTCAACAGTCAAATCAAGTTCACCAGTTTTAGGATAATTAATCATCATCTTTGAGAAAACACAAACCCAACAATCGTCCAAATCAGAAGCACCTGCCAAAAGTATCTTTATAGAAAATTAATTTTTTTTTACTAAATAATTTAAAATTATAAATATTTATATCTTTAATGATTTACTTCTGATAGCAATTCCTGTAATGCTGTCACGGTACTTTTTTTTACACATAAAATTAGAAAGAATATTGCCAATTTTTCTTTAGAATTATGCAAACTCCAGTTTTTTAGCATGTAAAGTATAACTTCTTTTTGAAGAGCAGGATTTACTATCGAAGGAATCAACCAAGGATTTTCTGCAGATTTTGAAAGCAATGCTTTAGCCAAATTTTCCAACTTTTGATCATTTGCCATATTTTTTTAACAGCTAAAGGAAATTGTTTTGAACGAGATTTTTTAAGACGTGTCAAATAAACAATAATATTCACACGTGATTAATTGAAAATCGTTATTGGTATATAAAAATTTTTATTTAAAATTAAATAAAAACAATGATGATAATAATATCTGACTCGTAGATTCATCAATTCGATATTGTCTTGTTTCTTGAGTACTTCTATAAGGAATTTCTCTTTTCAACTTTATTACATTCTTAATTATTTGAGAACCAGTTACTAAATTTTTTGTTGTATATATTTAAGCGTGTTGTGCGTGAAAAACAAATTTGCGTCAATTTGAAATTTATTAATATTAATTAAATTTGGGTGGGTAGGGATGGGGGTGGTTCCGTTCCGCTCCGTTCGGCCGCTCTCCGTTACACAAAAATCAAATGTTTCACAGAAAAAAAATACAAAACTTCGGGCGACGAATAGGCATTTTGATATAAGTGATGACGAATAACATATTTTTTTAGCGTGTCAATTAAACTTGGCATATTAATACAGTTGGCGCTCGATATAAGGAAGAGTTTGTTTTGGCAAAAAACTTCACTATATAGTGTGATTCATTATATAAAAAGATCGGCAAATTTTTATTTTTTTGATATTATATACAAATACATATATTAATATTGATACACAAAAAAAAAATAATAAAATTCATTAATTTTTAGTAGTAAACCAACGATCCAATTTGCTTTGTTTTTTAGAAGCAAGAGAATATTTGGATATATGACTTTTAACTGATTTTATCGATTTAATGTGTTTTAATTCAAAAGTAAGGTTTTCAGGTGGATTTTGAATATAAGAAAGGATGGTGTCTAAAGATTTTAATGCATCTTCTGTAGTAATTTTTTGTTCAACAGCTACTAATTCATCTTCTGGTTCAGATTCAGCAGTTGGTTTTACATAACTAATAATTTCTTCATCGGTATTTTCAACACCAAACTCTTGAATTTCTTCTTCAATTCTAATAAAATTCTCTGCGCTCAATTTATCAGAGGCTTCAACACTCCCTAATCGATTAATTAGATTTTGAAGCTCATCATATTCTTGAATGGTTTCTATTTCCATGGCATCATCTAAATTAGGTATTATTCCTGACTTCAGCCAACAGTTTCTAATAGTCTCGGGTGTCACATTTTTCCAAGCTTTAGCACAGAGTGTAATTGCATCAGAAATTTTAAGTTGTTCAATGGGAGTATTAAGGCTTTGATGTAAGTCATAAGCATCAATCCTGTTCATAACAAGCAATTTTCTATAATGGACCTGAAGAAATGATAAAGTGAATATTTGAACTAATAAAAAAAATTTTTTTTTAAATCATATTTACTTTAAAAGAATTTATAATTCCCGCATCAGCAGGTTGTAGATGAGTAGTTGTATTAGGAGGGAGATGATGAAGTGTAATATTCGTTAAAAGAGTACTTTCATCAAGAATGTGGACTGGTGCATTATCAAACAATAGTAAGATGTTTTTGTTTTCTTTAACCATTTTCTGATTCAATTTTTTTAAATATTGATTCCAGATGGAGACTTGCATCCAGGCTTTTGCATTCCAATAGTAATCAACTGGAAGCTTTGACTTGTCAACACCAAGCATGTCTCTTGGTGTTTGATACTTATGGATAAATAAAGGTGGAAGTTTAACGGTCCCTGTTGCATTCATAGTCAATAAAATGGTTATTCTTTTTTTTGATTTTTTAGTACCAGGAAGAGGTCCAGTTGATAACGTTTTTGATGGTTCCAAATCCCAGAACAAGCCTAATAAATAAAGTATTTAGTAAATTTAATAAATACTAAAAAAAAAAATAATAAAATTCATTAATTTTTAGTAGTAAACCAACGATCCAATTTGCTTTGTTTTTTAGAAGCAAGAGAATATTTGGATATATGACTTTTAACTGATTTTATCGATTTAATGTGTTTTAATTCAAAAGTAAGGTTTTCAGGTGGATTTTGAATATAAGAAAGGATGGTGTCTAAAGATTTTAATGCATCTTCTGTAGTAATTTTTTGTTCAACAGCTACTAATTCATCTTCTGGTTCAGATTCAGCAGTTGGTTTTACATAACTAATAATTTCTTCATCGGTATTTTCAACACCAAACTCTTGAATTTCTTCTTCAATTCTAATAAAATTCTCTGCGCTCAATTTATCAGAGGCTTCAACACTCCCTAATCGATTAATTAGATTTTGAAGCTCATCATATTCTTGAATGGTTTCTATTTCCATGGCATCATCTAAATTAGGTATTATTCCTGACTTCAGCCAACAGTTTCTAATAGTCTCGGGTGTCACATTTTTCCAAGCTTTAGCACAGAGTGTAATTGCATCAGAAATTTTAAGTTGTTCAATGGGAGTATTAAGGCTTTGATGTAAGTCATAAGCATCAATCCTGTTCATAACAAGCAATTTTCTATAATGGACCTGAAGAAATGATAAAGTGAATATTTGAACTAATAAAAAAAATTTTTTTTTAAATTATATTTACTTTAAAAGAATTTATAATTCCCGCATCAGCAGGTTGTAGATGAGTAGTTGTATTAGGAGGGAGATGATGAAGTGTAATATTCGTTAAAAGAGTACTTTCATCAAGAATGTGGACTGGTGCATTATCAAACAATAGTAAGATGTTTTTGTTTTCTTTAACCATTTTCTGATTCAATTTTTTTAAATATTGATTCCAGATGGAGACTTGCATCCAGGCTTTTGCATTCCAATAGTAATCAACTGGAAGCTTTGACTTGTCAACACCAAGCATGTCTCTTGGTGTTTGATACTTATGGATAAATAAAGGTGGAAGTTTAACGGTCCCTGTTGCATTCATAGTCAATAAAATGGTTATTCTTTTTTTTGATTTTTTAGTACCAGGAAGAGGTCCAGTTGATAACGTTTTTGATGGTTCCAAATCCCAGAACAAGCCTAATAAATAAAGTATTTAGTAAATTTAATAAATACTATAATTATATTAGAATACTTTTTACCAGTTTCATCACAATTATAGACATCTTCTAGGGGAAATTCACTTAATATTTCTTGCAATTTTCTTCTTTCTTCAAAAATGATTTCTTCAGAAGGCGCAGAACTTGCTTCACCATGTAAATTATATTGTTTTATACCATTTCTTTTTTTAAAATTTGAGACCCAACCGTCTGAGCCTTTAAAATCATTGATATCAAGTAATTCTGCAAATCTCTTAGCTTTGGCAAGAATTACATCACCTGTAATTACCCTTTTATTTGAAAGTGCTTGATTGAACCATATCATCAATGAACTTTTGAGCTCAGGATATTTTGGAGCTTTATATTTTTGCTTGTTAGCATCATCAGGATTAGTGGATAGCCATTTATTTTTATCCTTCAAAATGTTACAAACTGTATTTTCTGCAACTTCAAATTTCCAACCAAGTTCCTTATATGTGAATGATGGATTTCTTTCACGAAATTCACAAAGTTGTTTTTTCTCACCCCAAGTCAAAATTTTTCTTTTTTTGTTTGATTGATCAATTGATGACATTTTTTATTTTTTTATTAATTTTTTGAGGAAACAATTTTTATAAAAAATAAAGGACATTTCTAATCCTTTATTTATAAGAAATTCAGCAAATAATTGAATTAGCAAAATCAAATAAACCATTTGATCGAAAGAACTGTTTTTATTAATTAATCATCTGATGTTTTTTTACAAATAAAAAAATACATTTCTTTTACTAAATTACATTACAATTGGTTTTTCAACTTAATTATTTGAATCATCAGTTTTTTTCAATATAATTTATCATAATTAATTTATTGCTTATCATTCGATGTTTTCTTTATAACTTACCATTTTATTCAAATCATCAGTTTTTGTCAATATAATTTATCATAATTAATTTTTATAACTTACCATTTTATTCAATATACAATTAATTAATTAATTATTTTTTTAATCAAATGATTATATTTATTATCTTATTTATTTCAATAGAATTTTTAATCGAATGATTTTTTAATTTAATTGACAGAAAATTAATATTATTATAATAATTATGATAAATCAAGTGATGATCAACATATTTTTTAAAAAACTTCATTATATCAAGCTCTATTTAAATATAATGGTACCAAGTAAAACTTCACTATATAGTTATATCAAGAGTTTATATTAAAAATCACTATATCGAGCTGAATTTATATATAATGAAATGGGAAATTTTCCATCTTCACTATATCGTACGATTCACTATACAGTAGGTTCACTATATCGAGCGCCGACTGTAAATCATTATTATTGCAAATCAGATTAGTCAAATCAACTATTCATTAATGCGTTAAAGATTAATCAATTAATCTTGAAGGTATATAAAAGACGAGTGGCGGGCGATAACCACCACCACCATCCTTAAAACACTTACCCGCAGATTTCTTCTGCTTCAGTTTTTTGTTTTCTTTTATTCGATCCTCTTGAAGACATTTTAAAATAAAAATTTTAAAAATAAAAGTTTTGTTATGATCGACGCGTACACATTAATTATTATTTCGCAATTCGCCAGTAACGGAAAGAAATTACATAATGCAGATCGGGGCAAAATTTCTCGATTTTATAATAAAATAAATTTTATCACGTAACTTTATCTCCTGCTGGCACAAAACCTTATTATCAAGTATTACCTTCATGCATAATAAAAAACATTAGTATAATCTATTAATATTTTTGTTGTTAAAAAACTATGTGCTAATTTTTTACCAATAAAGTATGAATTCAAAACCGGCTCAGGATTATGGGTAAAAAAAATTGCAATATTCGAAGCATTCAACTAAAAAAAAAATAGAAAATTCACTTGGAAAAACGTAAATAAAGATTTTTATTCATTATTTTGTTGTCTCTTTGCCATTGCCTTCTTATGTTGACTAGAATACCTACTAATCCAATTTCAATTGTTTTCAACTTTGGAATGTCATTTACTTCCAACTCACCTGTTTCCACATTATTTTGGAGTTCTTTGAACATTTCTTTAGCTGTATATCGTTCACTTTTATTTATGTCACCACTATGGAAAAAAGTTTTCAACAATTCTATCACTTTATCAGACATATGTTTTCCACCACCTTTTTTCCTGTATTCTTGGTTTTCTTTTAGGGCCCACCCAAGTTGGAAGAAATTCCTAGGTGTTAAGATAATGCCAGGTGACACCATCCACAACTAGATTCCCATCTTTGCTGACAAAATTCTTCATCTGATAAGCCATCATTATCATGATAATTTAGAGATTGTGTGGTTGGCTCTCATTCAACTTTCCAAAATTGGTGAAAATGTGAACATATGACAAGGTTGATTGGTGAAAATGAACCGTGATTTACCCATTTCAACAAAGAATTCAGTGCCATGTTGAAGTAGTTCATGGAAATAATCACCACATCTGATAAAAAATTGCTTGTAACGGTCTCCGTAATGATCAAAACAATATTTTGAAACAACTCTAGCGCCGTTGCCATAAAATCCATCACCAGGTTCATAAACATACATTCTAAATATGTACGAGACTTGTACTCATTGATAATGATGGTGGCAGCGATGGTTGTGATGGAAATTCTTTTTCTTGACTAAATTTTGTAAGAACAAGACAAGAATCTATTTTCTCGAAACCAATTTTTCGATGAAAATAACGAACTTACTTTTCATCGAAATCATGTTCAAATTTATCTAAATAATCAAAGATTAGAAAAGTGTTTCCAGAAATTTCAGCAAGTATTGATTTAGGATTTGTATTTTTTTTTCTTGATCTTTAGTGTTGTTATACATGAATTATTATTATATTTATTATTATCAACTATTATTACTATTGCCGAAATCAGGAAAATAAATAAAATACCCCGGATTGTCGTTTTTATATATGGTCATAAACCAGATTTAGTCGGGATTTTTGTGCCAACTATGTAATAGTAAAGGATATTGATATTTAACTATTATTATTATTATGAGAAAAATTTTTGTATCTATAAACAATTAATTGCTTATATATAGTAACGATTAGCCAGTTTCGATTTAAAAAAGTTGACCGTTTTATTTGTTCATTCTTCAAAAATTTATCGACTAGTTTTTTTCTTAAACTGAACATTGGCAGAGCTTTAGCATTTTGAAAATTCCAAATTTTGAGGTAAATTTCCTAACATTTTAATATATTGATTTATTTTTATTATCTATTTCCTTTTTTTTATTAATAATAAAAGTTCTTTACAATAAAAAAGTTTAATGAACATATAATTCACGAAAATTATTATCTCAAATTTCAAAAATCTAAAAAATGAGACAAATTGCTTTTATATGAATTGAAAGCTAAACTTAATGGAGTGGTTTTTTTAAAATCCAACATGTGCATCACATAATATTTCAATTTTAACTTTCACATATTATTATGCTCTTCTATATGTGAAATTAAAGTTTAATTCGCGATTGATACGTGATAGGAGTAGATAAAAATCTGTGTCGATCCGGACAAAAAGTTTGCAAACGATGTTTTTCGTTAATTACGCAAAATCCTACATAATAAAAATACATAAAATTTTAATATTATACAGCCTAGATCCCTTGATCGATTTCACATAAAATATTTGATTTTTTTATATTTCTATTACTTTTTTTTTGAAAAGATCTTCAAAAGTCAAAATTGAAGAAAACCGACTAATATCTAGTGGGCCACACATCATTAGAAATGCATGATTCAACTCTTCTTGGAATGCTTTTAATGAACTTTTCCAAGTATTTTTAACCATTCTTCTTTTACTGCAACTTCCAATTCCAATTTATTTTTTAGCCCCCTTTAAAAAACTTTTTACGATCACGATTTAGATTTAGAAAAAAAAAAAAAATAACGAAGAAATAAAATCTAGATGAGTTATAAAGTATTGAAATCATATGTTTTATTCTTCAAAACTATAACTTTTATATGATATAATTTTAAATATTTGAAAAAAGACGAAGATATTGTAAACATTTTAAAATTTAATTTGCAATTCGCCAGAAACGGAAAGAAATTACATAATGCAGATCGGGGCAAAATTTCTCAATTTTATAATAAAATAAATTTTATCACGTAACTTTATCTCCTGCTGGCACAAAACCTTATTATCAAGTATTACCTTCATGCATAATAAAAAACATTAGTATAATCTATTAATATTTTTGTTGTTAAAAAACTATGTGCTAATTTTTTACCAATAAAGTATGAATTCAAAACCGGCTCAGGATTATGGGTAAAAAAAATTGCAATATTCGAAGCATTCAACTAAAAAAAAAATAGAAAATTCACTTGGAAAAACGTAAATAAAGATTTTTATTCATTATTTTGTTGTCTCTTTGCCATTGCCTTCTTATGTTGACTAGAATACCTACTAATCCAATTTTCAATTGTTTTCAACTTTGGAATGTCATTTACTTCCAACTCACCTGTTTCCACATTATTTTGGAGTTCTTCGAACATTTCTTTAGCTGTATATCGTTCACTTTTATTTATGTCACCACTATGGAAAAAAGTTTTCAACAATTCTATCACTTTATCAGACATATGTTTTCCACCACCTTTTTTCCCGTATTCTTGGTTTTCTTTTAGGGCCCACCCAAGTTGGAAGAAATTCCTAGAAAATTTTAGCAGAAGAAAGTTCAACATTACAAATTTTTTATTGCAAAAGCTGCTATTGTCTTTCCTGATCAAATTAAAGAAGTCATAATCATCAGTGACGTGAACAATCATCAAGCTTTCAATTACCTGATCTCTTTGCCATCAGATTGTGTAAGGGATAATTTTATTCTTTTTTTACTTCTTTCTTTGTTATCAGATTCTGTGATGTTACTGATTTCTATCACCCCTTCTATTTTTTTCTTTAGCCTTGCCTCTAAAAATCAAAAAGTTTATAAGCTAAGTTTTATTATTTCAATGTTTTTACTACCTTCTATTTTATTTTTTGTTTCACTTGTGATATCAGCCTTCAAAATTTCTGTTAATTCTGATCGATCATCTTTTTCATTATATTCTAGACCTCTTTGTTTCAATTTCTCTTTGATATCAACTTTTTTTAATCTATTTAATCCTATACCAGAAACTAAAAGATAAGAAATTGCATTAGTTAATAATGCTATTCTTAATTTTAATTCCAAAAGATATCAAAACTATTCTGAAATATTTATAGAATTCATTGATAATATTACCTGTCGATGGTATAGGAGTTATCCATTGACATTCAGGTTTGGTGTGTGTAGAAATTAAGGGATTTGGCCTATGTTGTTCACCACCCTTCATTGATTTACGAATAATATCAGGAGAGAAATTATTCCATTCTCCAAAATTTGGAAGAGATCTAGCACATACAAAACCAGCCAATTCTCCTTCAACAGGCCATTGAAATTCAAACCAGCTTGAGATTCCAGAAATTGTAGGTTTTTTTCTTTCTTTATAACTTCTATCAGGATTAATATTTGCCACTGATGTTCCTTTAATAACTTTAATAGCTTCTACTATATTTTCACCCTCAGATACATTGTTTCCAAGCCTAACATATCGTTTAATTGCTTGGGAAATCTATGGAAGATAGAAAAAAAATGTGAGCATTTTTGTTATCATTTATCATCAGCATTTATCATTAACATTATTAACCTGAGCATGATGTGAATCTATTGTTGTTTTAGCCTCTCCTGCTTCTAAAAAGGTCCAGCTCCGAACCTCCACATCATACCACATATTCCATTTTGCAATTATTGCCATCAATTCGGAACAATGATAATGTGCACCATTATCAGATAGAATTCTTACCCACTTTGGTTTTTTTTCAAGGGTGTTGAATACAACTTCAAAACATGAAGCAGTAAACCATGCATCTTGAGCTGCATCTGAGGACCAGTGGTCAAAGGCATGAATTTCTAAGTCATTGTCAAGTTTGGTGTAAACTAGCATTGAGTGCAGAGTCCATCCAGACTTTCCATAAAAATCAGATTTTAACTCTCTTGCTGATTTTGGTAAAATTTTCATTTTATAATCAACTACAATAATAGCACCTTCCTCATCAAGATCAAGCAGGTTGGCATTAAATTGGGCATTGAGGTATAACTTTCTTGCTTGGTGTGACCAATAGTGTTGAAGTTTATTTCTATTTTTATCGATTCGTTCTATGTCATTTGGCATAAGCTCTTTTAGTTGGTAAAACATTTCTGATATTTTATTACATTGGTTACATTTTGAGAGGTGAGGCTCAGTACATTCTCCAAAAGCATATGGAAGGCAATGCTCAAGACATTCAACATGGTAAGTGTGTCCCAAACAATCCACATCAAGTTCTTTCTCATATTCACGTTTTAAATGACGTTGAATAGATTCAAGCTCTGCAATTATTTGATGCTAATAATATATTGAAATTTTTTAGTATTTCATTTTTAGTTATATCCTCAGAAATATTTACTCACCTGATGTTCTTTTTCATTTATTCTATCTAATATTAAGATTTTCAAATCATCAAATACACCATATCCATACTCAAAACATGTACCACACAAACCTCCTAGATCTTCTTTATATATATAAGAACCATCATTCAAATTAGCTAAAAAAGCAGTTCTTTTCATTCCATTAGGATATAATTCAAAATATTTTCTCCATAATGTTTCTTTATTATCTTTCAAATACTTAATAGGTTCACCAGTTTTTTCATTCACTTTATAGGAACTTAAATTTACGATATTTTTGTCAGCAAAAAAATTTAGGAAATTGTTTTTAGACTCTTCTGATATTCTCAACCTTGTAATTTTTGGCTTTTCAATTACTGCACACCCTGGTCCATTAACCTTAGAGTGAACTCTTGCTTTTGCTATTGTTTTGGAAGAGACCTGTTATCATCAAAAATATTATATAAGTGCATGATTTAGTTAATGATAACATTGATGATAATATTGACAATAACATTAATGATAATGTTGATGTAATAAAAGAAGGATTTTATTTCATTTAATGAAATTATTACAGAGCTTAAAAGACAATAATAATTGCAAATAAATTTCAATGGAAAAATAATAAATATTATTTGACAAGATTTATTTTCAATAAATATCATAAGCAGTATGCAACATTGAACAATATCAATCCTAGTGATGTATTCCAAAATCTTTTTGAAATTTATTAATCATAAAAATACAAAGTCTTTATTGATTTCTAATTTTCAGGCAATTTTTGGGTTTAAATGGTTGATTGAAATTAATCTATACCATAAGGACAAAATTACACATGAATAATTTTACCAATAATATCCTAAAATAACCTATAACACTCCAAACTTTCAGAAAATACAGGTTATTTTAAATGTGAAAATCTAGAATTTTGACCAGGTAAATGTCTTGTTGAAACATTTTTAGAAACATCACCATTGGTTCATTAAACATTGATCAATGTCACCCACCAATGATTTTCTCAATACAGCAGAATTATCAAAAATATAAATGTGTTTTGTAGATAATAATATTATGCTTACCTTGAGTTTTTGTTC